GAGCAAGCAGAGGAACCTGGGAGCTTACAGAGCTGGCCAGTCTCGGGGCCATTGTGTCTCACCGGTTGCCGGGAGCCTTGTTAATAGAGAAACGGTTTGCCGCTTCTCAGGCCCCCTCGAGAAGGCTGAGCAGCATTCTGCACTTTCTGCGCCGTTCCTCCTGCATGCAGTCTAACTCCACAGCCATCACCCCACAGGTTCCTCCTTTTCCTTTATTTCGAGGCTCAACAAATCCACTACTAATGCTTTAGTCACAGCTGCTTTTGCTCGTGAGCGCAGGAAACACTTCCACAGTAATATACAAAAAGTTAAGCAAATTGCAAACCCTAAATATATAACAAGACTACTGGGAGAAAGCCATGCTACCAACTTCTTGTGCGCATCAGAAAAAAGGGAACTATATTTAAAATATCCACTCTGATTTACACGGACAATCTCCTCAGACATTTGTTGCAAAAGACTGATAAACGATTGATTCCATGGTAGGTGTAAATACTGCTGTTGAATGATTAAGGCCTGTGTTGAATTTAAATGAGTTTGGCATTGGGTTAAACATATAGCTGAATAACGTGGTCACAGGTCACACATATTAACTGCCATAAATTGAGGTTAAGCCTGCTTGTAACAGGATATTTGCATGATACCAAGTGGGCAAAGCTTGAGCCGTACCACTGGAGAAATGGTTTAAAGTATGTGCGGTTTGTATTGACTGTTGGAGAGCTACAACTGCACAGTGGTTGTGTCCACGGCTGCGGCGACAGCCACAATTATGGCTGTAATTACTACTGAAAGTCCAAAATCTCTATTACGATGCACTAGAGAATGTCTTAACTTTAAATCTCCTTGCCATCCTTTGATAGTGTATTAGTCTGGGTACTTTGGCGAAACAAATCCACAGCAACTCATGTATAAGAGAGCTTTATGTAAAGAAAGTGTGCATCACGAAAACATGCTGCCCAATGCTGCCCAAGCCCACAAGTCCAACATTAACCCATTAACCCAACACCAGTCCACAAAGTCCTCCCTCCACCTCACAAAACAGAGGCAATGATGCCGACTGCAGGAGGAAAGCTGAGTCAGTGAACG